TTATTTATTTAATACTCTTATACTAATCACTTCCTGTATTCCCGTGATAAAAGGGACATGTGCAATAAAACATGTCACTTCCGGTTGAAGCAAAGCCGACGGTGTATGTGTGTATTTATCCCTCTGTCACGTTAAACTATGTTCACGGTATTCCCATTATATCCATTTCACTCTAATACATATTAACACATGTATATTTTGTTTAAAAACAAGGTATAACTTAGAAAAATACATGGCATTACTTTATTAATACCTCTTTATTATCAAACTCTTACCCCATTTTTAGAGCTGCAAGTACCAAATATTCTTATTTTATATGAAGTTGTTCCTTATTTTCTTAATGAAGTAAGCCTTTCTGCCTTTCTGCCTTTCTGCCTTTCTGCCCAAGATTGAAAACATTACGGCGGTAAATACTTATTTTATATCCGTTATTTAGTACGTTTTATAAGCGTGTCTTATGATAATCAGTGAGGTAACATTACTGTTCCTCTCAACAGAGTCTGGTGGCTTTGAGAAAACAATAAATGCATGTTTTGTATGTTAATAAATTCTGGTAATGTTGATTTTATTGTAAATAAATCTCATAGCATCATGCCCATTTTGTTTGTCCACCATGGTGTCATGTTACCATAGATAACAGAACGAACGGCGGGTATTAGAACAGCGGAAAGACAAACAAAGATTGTTTTTAGAAATGTTATTTTGTTTCTGTCCAGTTTGAATGTGTTTGATAATCAGGAAGGTAAAATGTCTGTTTCTGTCAATGGAGTCTGGTGGTTTTCAGGCGAGAATACTTATTATGTATGTTAAAAAAGGGTCAAATCCCTGTTGGTTTAATTGATGATATACTTACCTAAAGAGGCCCTATTTTGCATTCGGGTGTTCCCTTTCCTGTAGTGTGTTCTATAGGTTTTAGTGCATGTAAATGGTCTGCAAAGGCTAAAATCCCTGTGTTCCCTCCAGAGGAAGTTTCTCTCCCACACACTCCCCAAATGCAGGTTTTAACCTTTCACACTGAAAACAAAATCCAGATGTTAGTGGCGTTTTTTTCCAGTGGGATATTCACAGTCCAGAAAGCCTCATTTAGGGAAAAGAGCTGACTGCATTGTATAGGTTAAGAAGCTTTGTCTTATAGTTACACAACGCTCAGCCAACAGGAGCACAAAGCGCCTTTACAACACGTTAGCTTTATTAGGCTCATTTACTGCCGCAATGTTTTATAATAAACACAACTACACCAAAGAACTTTCCAACTGCTCCTTTAAAGTGAACCACCACAACAAAGAGCATTTTATTGCGAAAAACTTCAAACCACAAACGGGCTCGCTGCCTGAGGTCTAATCCAGCAACGTGCACAGGGATGTTGTTACAACATGAGAGAATAAATCCAGACTCTGCTAATCCACAAAGCAGCGTGCACACGAGGCAGCTGCGCTATTCTGTCAGCAACAAGTCTCCTCTGGAAACAAACTGCACATTTAAACAGGACAGGGTCATTTAATACAAGGGGAACTCCAGCAGATTCACACCAGTCCCATCAGAACTACTGTTTACTACTGTTACCAGGGCCGTCCCTCCCTACAGGCCGATCATGCAGACTGCGTGGGGCTTCACCTCACGGAGGGTGCCTCAACTGAGCCGAAAATGCCACCCGCCCCCCCCGTCGACGATGACGACGACCCACGACGGCTCATGACTGTTACACTAAAAAATAAACGTTATTCACTTAGAAAGCTCATTCATAGGAACGACTATGTTTTGTTTAGTGCCTTTTACATTTGAATAAAGTATGTTTTGCTATTGATTAGCAAGGGGAAATGACAGTTTCTGGCACATTTCACATTTTTATAGCGCCTTTCAAGGGACCCCAGGCCCCTTTACATGGTGCAAGGACAGACAAAAAGACAAGGTGAGTTTTTAATGATGGCTTGAAGATGTCCAGGGAGGCAGCATTGCATTAATGTATTATATATGTACTTCTCCACGGGTTGCACGGTGGTGTCTTTAAGTTTCTTACTTTGCCAGTCCAATACTTTAAAATATCCACTTTAATAGGAAATAAAACAGAAGAAAGCAGCATATTCAAATATATAGAAAACCCAATAAATACAAAGGCATTCTCTTCCTCGTTAATTATATTTAAACTCTTTGATTGTACTTGTTTACTTTACTAATGTAGCTCTTAATTCTGGAACATATTGGCATCACTATGTAACACTTCTATTGGCTAGTGATATGCTAAGGGGGCGGGACATCTCAACATCACAACAGAGCCGGCCAGCTAACCAATCAGAGCAGACTGGGCTCTGGTTTCAGACAGAGGGTGAAAAGAGGTGCTGCAGCACAGGCAGTATGAGAACAATAAAGAGCTTTTTGAACATTAAAGCATGGAGACATGTCCCAGTAGAGACACTACATACTGATATACACCTGAACATCAGCAGGAGAGGACTCTTTAAAGTAGAGACACTACATACTGATATACACCTGAACATCAGCAGGATAGGACTCTTTAAAGTAGAGACACTACATACTGATATACACCTGAACATCAGCAGGAGAGGACTCTTTAAAGTAGAGACACTACATACTGATATACACCTGAACATCAGGAGGAGAGGACTCTTTAAAGTAGAGACACTACATACTGATATACACCTGAACATCAGCAGGAGAGGACACTTTAAAGTAGAGACACTACATACTGATATACACCTGAACATCAGCAGGAGAGGACTCTTTAAAGTAGAGACACTACATACTGATATACACCTGAACATCAGCAGGAGAGGACTCTTTAAAGTAGAGACACTACATACTAATATTAAGCTGGAAATTAGCATAATATGTCCTCTTTAACTAAATGTTCTCCTTACAAAGAAGTTAGTCTTTGTCATAAGTGTTTTTTTTCAGTAGGAGAATAAACTTTCCATACATCTCAGAATAGATTTGAACATCTAGCTTCCCTTGATGCAGATTACATCACCGTGTCTCTGCCTGTCCGTCACATGCTTTGTGCCAGAGAGCTTTGGGCTGGATCACCTTATATAACAACACACCATTCTGCTCATCTGCTTAATCTCACTCACACTGGATAACTCTCCTTTTTTTTTCTTTTTCGGGCGGCAGTAGAGGCAATCCTAATACGCTCTGTGTGCCAATCCCTGTTTGGCCTCGACAACTTCCCCGTGTCCTCGCTCACTTTGACAAAACGCCCCCTTTGCCACTCTCCTCCTTATCCCACTTAACATTGTTATATTGTTAACATGTCAATACTCCTGCTCAATGACTGATTCTCCCATTGTGTGCACACATCACAACAGGAAACCCGCTGTGATTGGAAGCCGCATGACACACTTTTAAGCCCCTCCATCTCCATCTCCATCGCCATCCTCTTTTTCCTCCCGTAACAAAGAACCTCCCTACATTTATCACGCTACACAACCCCTTTAAGTTAATTACTCGCCACCCGACGACAACAACAGTGATGTGCGCTGACACAAAAACACTCAGGGTGGACAGAGCTGGAGGCCGGAGGGCAGTCATGTCTCTGTGAGCTGTTCTCTGTGAGCTGTTCTCTGTGAGCACTCGGCAGTGAAGAGCAGAAGGGGGTGGGAAAGAGAAAAGGAGAAAGAAAACACTCCTGAAAGAAGTGCAGAGCCACTGGGTTCCTGTGAGGAAGCAGTGAAAGTCCATGTTGTCACTCCCAACTAACCATGGGAGCTTTTACACATGCTAATCATGCTAAATGAGGAAGGGGTTAATATCTCTGACCTTCTAATAGGGATAAAGGATGTGAGACAATATAAAACATCGGATTAAATGAAGGTGTTATATGTAACATTACCGACAATGAAATGTATAGAAACTGCAGAACTAGGTTATATATTTGGTTCAGTTGTGCATTCAGTTGTGATTTCCCCCCCCCCCGCCTAACGGGGGGGGGGGGGGAAATCAAGATTCATCACAATGTTTATATAGATTTGTTTATTCCACACATGGCAGTTATTTTAAAGGTCACCTATTATGCAAAACCCACTTCTTCATGTCTCTTCTACATCAACATGTGTCCCCTCTTCTTCATGTCTCTTCTACATCAACATGTGTCCCCTCTTCTTCATGTCTCTTCTTCATCAACATGTGTCCCCTCTTCTTCATGTCTTTTCTACATCAACATGTGTCCCCTCTTCTTCATGTCTCTTCTTCATCAACATGTGTCCCCTCTTCTTCATGTCTCTTCTACATAACCATGTGTCCCCTCTTCTTCATGTCTCTACATCACCATGTGTCCCCTCTTCTTCATGTCTCTTCTACATCAACATGTGTCCCCTCTTCTTCATGTCTCTTCTACATCAACATGTGTCCCCTCTTCTTCATGTCTCTTCTACATCAAACATGTTGTCCCCTCTTCTTCATGTCTCTTCTACATCAACATGTGTCCCCTCTTCTTCATGTCTCTTCTACATCAACATGTGTCCCCTCTTCTTCATGTCTCTTCTACATCAACATGTGTCCCCTCTTCTTCATGTCTCTTCTACATCAACATGTGTCCCCTCTGTGTAAAGAGACTCTGAAAGTTTCTCTCTTTTTGTCCTGATCCATTTCTATAAAAACCTGTCTGAAAATGAGTTGATCAGATTTTGGACACTTTATGATGTCATAACGAGGTTTTGGCTTGTGCAACCATTAGCCAATCACCAACCAAGGTAGGGTACTTGAAAAGTACTTGGTGTGAAAGCGCCTATTGAGTTCTTTTTAACCAAATATCTCTCAGAGGGGCGTGGGGAGGGGCTCCTTATTTTCATCTAAAGTAACAGACAGAGAATCAGCACTTTGGAAACAGGGCTGAAACAGAGGGGATTATGGGATGCTGCAATGATCTGTTTGGTGTTTGGAGCCAAACACTTCAGAGACATGTTCTGTATATATCTGAGACCTATAATATATTGATGAAAAACAGTATAATAGGGGACCTTTAATGATAAAAGATCCACACTCACCTCCCACGTCGTCGAAGCTCCCTGGAGAGTAGGACCTCCTGGGCCAGGTGAGGTGAGCGTCCTCCTCCTGGCTGTGGTCCCGGATGTGGATCACTCGAGGCTCCCCCTCCCCCATCATCCCCCCCCACGTACACACTGGTGTAGGGCTGGCACTCGGACCTCCCCCCCACCTCCTCGTACGCCCCGTTGACTCCCTCCGTGGATCTCCCTCTCTGCACCTTACTGATGTCCCCCGATGCAGCAGAAAGGTTCCCAGGAAGTGAATGAAGGGACCGTTTCCTCTCCATCTGCATGGCCTGACTCCCCAGGGTGCTGATCTTGTCTGAAACCTCCCTGTCGTTGACTTTGACCAGGCCTCGCTCGTGGTGGTACTCCATGTTCACGTAGAAGGGCTTCTCCATCACCGACAGGCCCCTCCCGTCCCCTGCAGAGTGAGAGTTGGCCCTCCTGATGCGCTCAAAGTTGGACCTCAGAGCGGCCACGGAGCCTGTGCTTGGAGGATACTCAGGAACCTCTGGACCAACATCTTTCTGTTTGCTCGGAGACGCTGCATCCACCTCCAGATGTGCTTTACTGCTTACTTCATCTGTGTGCAGAGGTGGAAGAAGTGTTCAGATGCTTTACTTGGGTAAAAAGCACCAATACATTACTGTCAAAGTACTTCATTACAAGTAAAAGTCCTGCATTCAAAATCGTACTCCTGTGTTTGTTTCTCCCGCCTTACTTTGGTATTCCTAGTCCAATTTTAACTGCTCTTACATTAACACAAAAGTCATTAATCATCACCAAATATTATTTAACTCCCTTTTAAGCTGTAAACAATGTCTCAGGTTACTGGTTCACATGAATAACTGCAGAGAAAATAGACACTGAAAATGTCATGCTTGTCGATTTGTGGGTGTGTACTATCTGGTGGATGAACATAAACCCATTCACTTCCTATGGCGGTCACCATAGGTGTTACAAAGTTGACTAAAACCACCCAAAATGCAATGAAAGTGGTGATCAGCAATTACATGATATGTTCTAATGCCTACTGTGGAGGATATCATAAAGCCCTGAGGCAATAACATGTAAAACACAATATATATTATTGATGAAAGTAGTAAAACGGTCAGATTTGACCTGAACACGACAGGAGGGTTAAGTAAAAGTACAAAAGTATTATCAACTAAATGTTGTCTTTATGTGTGTATATAATCATAATTATTATACATGTGACATTTCTAGATACATTTGTGGCATCACGTAGCACTTTACTGCTGTAGACAAACCACGAAGTATGAAGTAGCTCAAAATGGAAATACTCAGGTAAAGTGCAAGTACCTCTAAATTGCACTTAAGTACACTACTTAAGTAAATGTACTTAGTTACTTCCCACCTCTGGACATAACAAAGACTTTGTTTCACAGAGCTGGCAGGCAAACATCGGGCTGATATTTGGTACTAAGGATTGATTGCCTTCTTACATCCAGCTCAACCAGGTAATGTCAAGTTAATGTCCCCACCTGTGTCTGTGTGCTGGTCTCCATCGTTGATCTGTGGAGAGTTTTTAAATCCCCACCGCTGCCCATCGTAGGATTTCCTCTCTTTGGCCAGCAGAGTCTGCAGGTAGATCATGCGGAAACGCTCCTTGTTCACTTCCTTCTCCAGTTGTCTGATGGACGTCTTGCATTTGTCCAGCTCCTGCTCGATGTTCCCCGGTGACTCCAGATCCATGGAGGGGGGGTCAGACTCAGGGAACTGGGCTTTCCATGCAGCCACAAACCCCACCGGCTCCACCATGATGATTATTATTATTCAGAGGGGGGGAGGAGTACTCATATCGTGTACTAAAAGTAGAAAGAGTAGGAATACTCTGTTACAAATAAAAGTCCTGCATTCAAAATGTTACTCAAGTAGAAAAAGTATTATCATCAAAATATAGTGAAAGTAGCGACAGTAAAAGTAGTCATTGTGCAGATTGGTCCATTTCAGAATAATATATATGATATGTTTTATAATGATTATCATGAAAGTTGTTCTCAAAGCTGGTAAAGGTGCAGCTAGTTTGAATGACTTTGTATACTGCAGGGTAGCTTGTGAATTTACTCCAGGTGGAACTAAAGTCTGATTTAACACTTGATTATATTTCACATCATTCATCCAGATCTGTGAAGTAACTAAATACATGTAGTGGAGTAGAAGTACACCATTTAACTCTGAACTGTAGTGGAGTAGAAGTATGAAGTAGCAGAACATGTAAAGTCCCTCAAAAAGGTATTTGAGTAAATGTACTTAGTTACTTAACGCCACTGTGTTAATATTATACCTCTAACATAGACTATTCAATCAAAACATGAAGCTGGATCTGACTGTTTACCTTCCATAGTGTTATCCAGAGGTAGAATCCACTTTAAAGTGAGTCAAAACTGTTTCAGTTGCAGGATTTACTCACAAACACAAAGAGAAAATCCTCTCTCCTTACTCCTGTTGATGCAGTCCACAAAAAAACGATTGTTATCCTTATTCCTGGTATGTAATCCCTTCTTTGTGCCCGTCTATTCTCTGGAGATGTGTCCCCCTCTGTGTTTGCTGTCAGACTGAATCTCTGCTGCCTCCTTCTCTCTCTCAGTCAGCAGGAAGAGAGGAGGGGCTTACACTGCAAATGCATGAAGAAAAAACGTACAATAATATGTCAAAATGCGAGTTTACAGGCAGAGCTGATGGTAATGTTTGAAAAACACCTTGACAGCTGTGAGAAATATATCTAAAAAAGCATAAAAACTGACATTGCAAGACATACGTAGTCCAACGTCGTAGAGAAGAGAGAGGAAGGATTTTTTTTTGCAAGAAGGTGAAGGGGAACGAGATCCTGATTTTCAAAACAACTACCTGCTTCTATTTTTAGCCCCAAAAAGACTACAATTAACTTAATTTCCACCTTTGTTTTCCCTTAGCTTTATATATGTCTCTCTTTCGGACCCACTTCGCACTTGTGCTTTTAGTTTTGCTCTGAAAACTCAGCTGGTTAATCCTCCCAAAATTCATTGTGTCACAACCTGAAGCAGAGTTGCGAGGAAATGTCGCCACCTGTCGGTCAGAGACTGCAATTACAGAGAGGTGCGTTCAAGGACAGAGAGGTGCGTTCACGGGTACATTCAAGTATGGACAGTGGTATAAAAGTAACCAAGTGTATTTACTGTATTTACTTTGTATTTTCAAGTAATACTTCTGTAACCTCTGCTTACACCTATATGCCATTTTATATGCTGTGAGCTGATTATCGAGCCTTCATTGTATGAGTCGCGGGTACACTGTGTATGTGCGTATTCCACTGTAGCGCCCGGTACATTAATGGGAAACCCTAGTTTGTACTTGTTCAATACATTTGTAACACTGTACACCAAAAAAAAAGAGATCTCACTCCAAGCTGAACTCAAATGTTGGCAGCCCTGCAAGTATTGTACTTTAGTACTTTTTTGCCACTAGAACCGCCAGAGATTTTTTTATACCTACACACCGCCACCTGGGTCAAATTTGAACGGCTATTAGAATGCATTGATTTTCAAGGTAAAATGTTCTTTTATTGAACAGAGAGTTTTGATCGCACAGGGATGAAACGTATACCAATATAATCTGTGGACTCTCAGGGCTCGACATTATAAATGGCCCGCTGGGCCGGAAGCATTATTTAGACACAGCGGCCAGCATAACGTACTTTCAACTCGCTCCACAGCTGTCACACTCCTTCACTACAGACTGTCTCTCTCTCTCTCTCTCTCTCTCTCTCTCTCTCTCTCTCTCTCTCTCTCTCTCTCTCGCTCTCCTCTCTCGCGTCCGCTCTCATCGCTCTCTATCTATACACCTAATCTGATCAATTATTAATCGCGATTCCTATCTCTCTCCTCGCGTTCTCAATCTATCTCTCTCTTCTCTCATCTATCCTCAATCTATTAGTAGGAGGAAACAGCCAGTAGAAAAAGTCGTTGCTATAGCAACACGTCATGTTTATATGAAAAGGGGGTGGGGACCCGCTTGGGCGGAAATAGGTATAAACTGGCAATTTGTTGGGTGATTGTGTCATCTGACTTCATATTGGACCAATTTTTAAACAACAGAGGGTGGTACATAACCACTTTCAGGGAAAAGTCCCGGACTGGGAAGACTTTAATATTTTATTGATAACAAAAGTCACATCACATATAAACAGCTCGGGGTCAAATTGACCCCGTTGGCGGTTCTAGTGTTAAGTATTTCCATTTCATGCTACTTTATACTTTTTACTCCACTACATTCCGCATAATAAGTGTTTTTACATTTTATGCTTTAAGTTGATTTGATTCTTATACTTTTGTACTTTTGTATTAAGCAAAGTCTTGAAATCAGGACTTTTTAATTGTAACGCAGTATTTTAAGACCATGGTATTTGTACTTTTACTTAAGTAAAGGACCGAAATACTTATTCGAAACACTTAGTATGGAGATGTACTGTGTTCATGTACAGAGCATACGCACAGAGGATGCGTTCAAGGACAGCATTTGAGATTTACCAAAAATGCTTTGTATATTGACTATATGTAGGCCCGTATCATGTATATACTATTGTGCTTTAAGCTCGATTATTTTGTAGGCTATGTATTTTTAAAGCTTTATTTATTTTGAGTATGTGAAAAAAAAATTAAATAATTTTTGTATTATGTTTATACTTTTTTAATTATAATACATAATACATAATAAAACATGTTTTATACTTTTATTTAAATTAACTTAAATCCATACATTTACTCAAACAGTACTCAACGTATTGAGACAGTAAATCACTGGTTTAAATTAAATTGTAATATTTATCTGTGTTGTTGATACGCTTGTTTAGTCAGACGATATTAACATATTACACACAGCGTAGAGCCATCATTTATTTCATATAAAAGTACACATTATAATGTATTAAAGGCAGAGCATAGTAACAATATATAATATCAGTGAGAAAAGGCCTTGTAACGGTCTAAATCCATATGATAAAACATAAAGAGTAATAAGTCAAATATATATAAAACTTCACAGATTTAACAAGGAGTCTGGTTAACAGATGAGACTATGTTTTGTTTTACTTCTGAGCGAGTGTTAATTAATATTCGCCCCAAACTCTCACACATTTGTCACCTGGAAGCATTATTAACACAGACATTTTTGCAGTAGTAACTTCATATAAACTCAAAAACACATTGTAACATGAACAGCTTTTTAACCTGTTAAGCCCTGAGCCTGTTTTTCAGGTCTCAGGCTCGAAAATGCCATTCCCAGAACAAATGACCATATCTTCCCTTCTAAAAGGGTTAAATTAATAATCTTTGTTCTCAAAGTAATGATAAACCTGTGAGTTGGATGTAGAAAAGTCAGAATCAATATAGATGTTTTTTATTTTAAAGAAAATTCAGATTTCACATAGTAAAAAACTGTAAATTATAGTGTCCGTCGAAAAATTCTTTTTTACTTATAGTGAAAACCACCCTTGGATGATGGGTTAGTAGACTAAAAGCTTTAGGAATCCAAAGTGTGTGGTTGTGGACGTGAGTAAATGGACTAATACAATGGATGAGATGGAAGATATTAAAGCTGATCGGGATATGGATATACGTTGGATGCCTGCCAAGATAAAGGAAACGGAATGGAGCAGAGAGAAATGTTTGTTACGACGCAATGCTTGGATTAAAGTGCGGATTGAACGATCAAAAGGATTGATAAAGTGTGATCCTAAGCAGCGGTGCCGCCAGGGATTTTGGGCCCCGTGAAAATATATCACATTGGGCCCCAAAAATATTTGTTTTGATATATATAAATATATGTGTTGTATTCCTGTCTCCCTTCAGATATGTTAAGTGGCATGTCAACAAAATGCTGCTCACCTCCTTCAGTTGGGAGAACAGCTGGTTCAGGTTCAGCCTTATGGGGGGACAGGGCTGCTGAGCCTAGAGATGGATCTGTAGTTTGTACAGCGCAGGTCAGGTCAGGTCAGCAGGCCACAC